ATATTATTATTTAGTGTTTTATAAAAATCGCTCTACATCCATGGGGCTAGTGGAGGTTTGGTCTAATATTGAAGTTAATAATTAATAATAAACGCGTTACATTCGTCCAAATGTTATCGAAAACGAGGATAACGTAATAACTAAACAAGTAAAAATATTTTCTTTTCCTCAAGTTATCATTATGACTGTTAACTTTTAATAGTAGTAAAGTAACAAGATCAAAATTCAAAGAAACTGGTTTTTATTTACTAGTGACAAATGAAGTACTTGTACTAATAACGACGCAATGTTAAAAACAATAACATACAACTCGCGCTGTTCAACTATTAATGATTCTGGACCGTCGCATGCCAATTTCAATTAATCGTTTAGGACGAAGTACCTACCATACCAGATTTAAATATCAATAGTACTAATACTGTGGTCGTGTTAACTCCGAGCTGTATCGAACAGTGGCTACGCAAATTTTCACTGATATATCACGTGAATATACGTGATGATGATACATACGTCTCTCATGTGTTTACTCTACTCAAATATATAATGTTAAATGTAGACACATTATATACCTTTACATTAACATTACGTATGGACGACAAAGCACTGCAGGGGATGTCAGAATAGAGGCCAAAGCCTAGCACCCTATTGTTGTTTAGCGGACTTGCCTCTACGACTGCTACGTGAGCGAATTCATCGCTAACGTTACATTCAATAAATAAATCCATGCACGCATGCGATTCGTGATTGATCACCTCGATTTTCCATATTCAATAAAACCCATAGTCAATAAATGGGGTAATGTCACCATCTACGATTGATGAATATAGGTTACTATATTCGGATACTTGTCAAATATCGTAGAAGTATCTCTAGATTGCCAGACATCCATAAGAGTAGGGTAAATTATTGTATGAAAATGTTTGTTCCTATTCTTGGAAAAATCTGTCAACGGAAATCCCGCGACAATTGGTAAACCCTTTTTGGAGTTTAAGCCCTATAATCAACACAGACAAAATCATGATCAAGAAGTACTTTATTTCGCAATCACAAAAAGATGTTTTATTACGTATTTATTATGAATTTTATGTACAGACATGATTAAGGACTTAAGTCAATCTCAACGGTGAACTATAAAATTGAGGGAAGCAATAAGAAATACGTCAATGTACTTTTTAATCCACAACAGGCGTGGCGTGCATCTAGGTAAGTCCTTAAATCCGCGATTCATTACCACCGCAGCGGGAACAAAGCCGTGTCGCAGCCATTTTGGCACACTGCCTGTTGAACCGTAGCTTAAAACGTCTTGGCATACGACCTAAATCCGAATGCTAGTAATCTTGTGCTACCAGCAAAGTTATACATTACGAACACGTGTGATCGCGACCGTGTTACGTCTGCACCACTGATTTGGAAGTCCCACTGCTGGGCAAAGACTACCTCTGGACAGAGGGTATTAGAGTATAGTGACTCTATTGCGGCTTAACAGACTAGACATATTTTTGAGTTAATTCGATGGTATGCAAATTTCAACAACATTTTTCTTTACCACTGAACACGTAATAACAATTTGGCGCATGCATCGGGACTTGAAATAAGATTACTGAATTAAAAGTGAGCGTTCGCAAGCGATCGTACGGAAAAGCTAAATGTAGCCAAATCGTACCTCACTGTCTAAATAGCTTAGAATAACGTAACAGTTTTATGTCATCGACAAGCTCCAGCTCGGCTTTTCATTATGAAACTGTCCAAAGTCCGTTGCAACGTCCATTTGCGCCCTTTGTGTTGGCTCTTTTCAAATTGTCCTTCATTTGTATCTGAATCAAACTAGCAACTGACGTGTAGGAAATAGTCTGCGCTCTGTTATTCCTTTCAACGTTATTTGCAACGAAATGAACATTGCGTTCTATGGATCGTTTTATATTCTGAATTCCAATCTAAATATATTCTCATTTCTTCATTGAGCACCTAAATGACATTCGTTTATAGTGTTTTATAATATATAATCGTACATTAGTATTCTTTTGTGCTTAAATACTGGTTAGAAAATTATTTAATATGATATAACTGTTAATAAAATTAATTTAACCAGGTCGGGTACAAAATTGTTCTGCTTTCTACATAGTTTGAAAAATGTAAGCCATATAGAGTAAAGAACGGTTTTTAAGAAAAAATTATTTTTTTCTGAATTAATATTCCAACGGGAATTCCCGAAGTAAAGTATCTGTATTATTTTCTTTAAAGGCCAAAGTACACGTTTTTACGCCGTGCCCTAATTTTAAGCCCATCATAAAACTCAGCAGCAAGTTGATAGTAATTTCGGAACAGCTATCACTCGAGGCATCGTAAGCACATTTTCTGATCGTCTCCCCCAATCGTTCACCTTCCCGCGCTTTGGCGATAACGTGATTGGTCCGATAAATAAATGATCCCGCTGCTCGTAGCTCACTCATAATTTATTTATCTGTAGCAGCTATTCTGGGAGCCGCAGCTATCGATAAACAAATCGAATAGATTACTTGATATCCGATTTATACGATTAGGTACTCGATTAATTAATAAAAAATAAATGGTACCAAGTCACGCCATGTTAGGATTCGTAACGGTTTTTAAACAACATGCACTTTCCTCGATCAAGACATAATTATTGTGTCATAAGTATTTTTACTCTAACGGGGTAGACTCAGAGATAAGTCAATCCACGTTCCACGGAACTTTTTAGAAACCCTATTACTAAGTCTCCGCTGTCCGTCTGTCTGTCCGTCTGTCACCAGGCTGTATCTCATGAACCGTGATTGTTTGATAGTTGAAATTTGCACAGGTGATGTATTTCTGTTACCATTACCATTACAACAAATATTAAAAAACAGAAATAAATAATATTTAAGTGAGGCTCCCCTACAAAAGACATGATTTTTTGACGTTTTTATAAGCAATGGTATGTTCGTCCTTCGTGCGCTAGTTCGAATCGCACTTGGCCGGTTTTTTTTAATCGTTTACGTGAGAATGAACACCCGTAGGGTTGCAGATGCATTGCCGCCTCTTAATAGAATGGACCCCGGTTACCTCACTCACCAAAACGCAGAAATATGGTATAACACTTCCACTTCACGCCGGTCTTCTATGAGACATTACATTGGATTATTAGACAACAGGAGTCTTTTTTTATTTATACATTATAAATTTTAGTAACGTTAAAAAAAGAAAAATAATAAAACACGATAATCTTATTAGATGGAATATAGTGATGAGTTAGTATTGACAGTTTTAAATTTTTTTACCAGCTCGTTTAAATAATAGCGACTAACAAAATAAACCACACTTTTATGGCTCAAATGAGGCTTCACATTAGACGAAGAGCTCCAGTCTTCCTAATACAAGGTACACGCTGAAAAAGGTTTATCACTTACCGGGTCGCTTTTTCTATATAACAAGATGTAACGCTCGTAAAGACCACCTTAACGCCGGATCTTCCTCAAAATAAGGAGATAAGATAAAGTTCTAAATGTGTGTTTAATGCTTTTCGGTGCGTACTAAGAAGTTCACAATTTCAAAAAGGTATTAGGGTTGCAATTTTAAGCAATCAAAGCCGTTAAGTGATTTTCGTATATATCCATTTAATTTACTTATTAAATTCATGATGAAAATAGATAATAATATTTTATAAATATAATTAATAATAATGAAATAGATAATAATGAAAATAGATAATAATTAAAAAAATATATGACATGAATTTTTTAGAACGAGCGAAAAATTTAAAATAATTTTATAAAGATTCGTAAAGATTTTCAATCATATACAAATCAAACCTCTAACATGTTTTCCTGAAAATTTATAACATTGAATTTTTAATAGTTATGAAAATACTTGTAAAATTTAATAAAAAACGTGTGGCGCATGTAATAGTTATAAGAAACAGAGAAAGTAACAAGAAAACATAAACATAAACATCAGTTTAAGAAAATTGCCAGGAGTGTCCAACTAGTTAAATTGCTTTAAAATCACTACTGATAAAATTTGACTTAATCAGTCACGAATCAAGTCATTCGTATTATAAAGTTAAACGTAAAACCAAAAAATAACCCATTAACCAATAAATTATCAATCGTACCTATAAACGTGGCAGCAAGTAATTAAACATAATTTTTCCAAACGCTACAAAAGAAGTTTAACTTCAAAGACCGACATTTTTTTGGTCGTCGATTGGGCCGATAAATATATTTAACCCAATAAGGTAATGATAAAGGAGTTACAAAGGGACATAATAGACAAAGACAATCAGGGCGAAAGAAAGGGGAGCGTTCCGAACGTCTGATCAAGATTGACGACTTGCCGCGTTGTCTGGAGCTGACGTGAGCAATTTGAGACCAATGGGACGGACCGGGGTGCATTTAAGCTTTGCAATAATATATCGCAGCGGTGGGGTGAATAAATCAAATAGAAAAGTGGACCAGAAATAAAATGTATGTGAGTGCACGAAATCCTAACTGATTTGGGATTCTGGTTCGGTATTGCTCTCGCTGCTGAATCTAAGGTACGTCATCATTTTTGCCATGACTTGGATTTTTGACTTAATACAACTTATTACATTACTGACAAAGTAATGATTGACGACCAGTGCAAGTCGATGAATACAGGTGACTTAAGATCGTGCTTCGTTGCAGGCTGTGGGAGGTCTATGTTCAACAATGAACACAACAGACTAAAATAAATAACTACAATATAATAAATTAATCGCATGATTTTCTGCAAAACGGTAAGTATAACAAAAGGAGAAGACTGTTTGATCACATAGTAATTTCCCAACTAGTCATCCGTTGACACAAACAGTTATTACTAATTAAATATATCACAAATGTGTGCTAAACAGTAATAAAATATTTTTAAAACTAAAAATATAGAAGGAATACGTGCTAAAAGAACATTACTCTACTACTACACATATTATTAATCTAAACGTTTGTGGGGGATGAAGACACTAAAAAGGGGAAAGGAAACAAATGACCAGTGTTGGGGAACAATGTAAACGTCACCATTCATCTGCAGCTCATGCGGCGGACAATAACCCGTATCAAAAGGCACACTTTAATTACAAAAACTGCCCGCGGCTCGACAACATTCGTTTCAGCTCCTTTGTGCGCCGCCCGTACCTATTCCCGCTCGTGTCTGGCGTACTGCAGGCGCGACACGGTAGGCAGGAATGTTCTGCGTTCGGAGAATTCTCACTGCTGAAGCGGACTCCAACAAAAGCAACATTCTTTGGTAGCGCATGTAGAGATCACGGTTAGTTGAAATAACACCTAAATTAAACTTCTGTTCGTATCCTCATGTGAGAAGTTAAGTCATTACCACCGATGAAGATACGTTGCAAATCAAAGTTATTTCACTAACTGTCAATTCCACTATACAGACAGAATGCAATTTATGCAATCATTACTAATATTATAAAGGCGAAAGTTTGTATGTATAATATAGCTTATACATCAGGATAAGACATAGGCTATAATTTATACACATTTTTGTGTATATCTGTCTTTCTGTCTAAATGTTAAGCCTTCAGCCGTAAAATACGAGACGTACTCGTAGTCGTGGGCAGCAGCTAGTAGAATAATAATTCTTATCACCAGTACTTTCCCAGACGGGCCTGCCCAAAAATGTATATATATATATATATATATATATATATATATATATATATATATATATACATTTTTGGGCTGCTAGTAACCGCTCCGACGTTAACGAATGAAAATATATATAAACCAGTGGACATAGCAATGTCTAACTTTCTAGCTGCTTGGAGGCACTTTTCATTGTTTCGTTAGTTTTCTTCTATTTAAAGAAGATAGTTTTTGAAAAGATTTCTACATCGTTTTGTTGCTATTATAAGATCTGTTTTCTTTAAAAAAATATTACTTGAGTGAGCGCGACTGGACTGTTCTGCTGCGGTAGGGCCGCGTGGCTCCAAGCAGCTAGAAAGTTAGACATTGGTATGTCCACTGGTTTATATATATTTTCATTCGAAACTAATACGAAAATCGTTAATGAAGTTTTATTGCTATATGCAATACCTAAAATTTGTTTTTCAAACACGTTTTGCCCATATAGGGATTCGTGTATGTTGTCACGTCCGCTAGTTAGCGTTTTGTAGTGCGCGAGTGCGCTCGTTAGCGTCGGAGCGGTTACTAGCAGTCGTCAAGCCACCGTTGCCAGTTCCGGTGAGTTTACGCGAACGCTAATTAGCGGCTTCTAAACGTCGATGGATACAGTCATCGTGCTATATCGCTGTTGCTATTTGATTGCCAAATGATTTAATACAGGCAAAATGAACAGCGGCTCGCCAATAGGAGAGCTGTAATCACATACAAATATGTATGAGATTACTGCCACCCTTGGTCATCAATAAAAAAATGTTTCAGATGTCAAGTCGGTCTTTTAAAAACAATAAGTACTTACAGCTCAATAGGTAGAATTTTTCAGGGAATATCGCCATAACAGATTCCACCGCGGCAGAAAACTTTGTAAAGAGTTATCGAATGCTGATTACCAACGATCGAAATGGCATCGATGGTATTGAGAAACACCGTCTCGATTGTCGTTCGTGGTATCAATTTGAAAGGGAGACATTAAAATGTTTTAGTCCTATATAGATAACATAGGTTCTATCTTTTTCTTTCTTAGTTTTCTTCGTTTCTTTTGTTAAAGAAATTTTATAAAAAGTCGTTTTATCCGTGTTTTCAGGCAATGAAATATATCGTTAGAATACGAAGGTAAACATCGCCACTATCTACAATGTAGCTCGGGCGGAAAATAATGTTGTATGCAGTATAAAACGACACTACATTAATTTTGTACTGTATGAAAGTCGTTATACCATGTGTCGCAAAATGAGTAGATTTTGCTCCAAGGTGTAATGAAATTATTTGTAATTTAAATGCAAAATTATAAATAATTTGTCGGGTAAATTAAATAACTGGGACCCACGCGTATCCTTTATAAGCAAGTCATCTTCAACACCATACGTCACGTACTTTAATCATCCCAGGGCGGCCGTAACTACTGCACAGGAAATGCCTGCTGGCTCACCACCTTCTGGCATCAAGAAAAATTTTCGTAAAGATTCAACGTGACACTTATTTAGCGTTCATTCCGCAGAACTAAATTAGCCTTGATTGAGTTACAGGGAGTTTAATGTTGAGAAAGTTCGGAATGTTTCAGTTAGTCGCAGTTGCAATGAGTTGCTCGTAAAACAAAATTAAACGGCTAGGTGTCGCGTTTCAATTAAGTTAAGCGGACTAGCATTCCGAACTACGTTTTGCTTTGTGCGAATTAATGCCACCGTTATCCCGTCTACTAGGGAGTATCCTTTATTAACCCTGGATATTGATTTTATTAGATTCCTTTTCATTTGGGGTGCCATACGGTCAGCCAGTTTAAGAGGGTGTAAAACCACAGAGGGTCCATATGGAATGTCTCTAGGAATTAAAGTAATTGAACTTCCCGCGCATATAATTGTATCTAAAGGGCACAAACTTTTCTTCCTTATTAATGGGCATACTGTTAACCAGTATGTCTTTGTCTTTACTGGAATATTTTCTGGATTTCACCGAAAGGACTGTCCTGTAGTTTAATGGGAGCAAAGTTTAAAGGCCCTATGGTCATTTTGAGATCGCTGTCTGTTTTGTCAGGAGGTCTGTTCGAGGAACTGTTTCCTTGCTGCGAGCCGTGGTTCACGCTATGGTTGACAGTTAGAGGACGTGGGGTGCTCGCATATTACGAAGACGTCATCACCCCGAAAGACGCCGCGGAGAGATAAAGGGAGGCAACTGCCACCCTTGAAATCCGCCAACGGAGACCAGGGCGCAGGAGGCTGGTCTACGCGCGGAACCTTTCACCCTGATAGTGAGACCCTGAGCAGCAAGCATGGGTGGGGGTGTCACTCAATATGGGGCTCGTGACGGGTGTCGTGACGGCACAATTAATCTTTAAGATTCAAATAACTAATGACTAAATACTTTTTCTATGACCTGAGTAGAGCGTACTACTTGCCTGGTGTAAAGCTCTTACTGTACGAGCGTACATGTATGTTTCTCTGTTTGTTTTCAATCACATAGAGAGGAGTCACGTATTAATCAAACCCGACGTTCAGTGAACAGGAAACCGTGCGGTACACTGTGCATACATTGTAAATGAACATAAGCACTAACACCGCGTTACTAACGCACCGACAATTCGACGAGCGGTCAAAGCCAACTGGTCCTGCGCTCGGACGCGTATGTCCCAAATGTACGGACACCCGAATTATGTTTGCAACAATGGACATCGATTCTGACATTGCTAACACGAAACGGGACGCGACACGACAATAAACTGGATGATGTGCAATTGCTAGTGAGCCAGCGTTAGTAAATACAGGATACAGGCTAAATTTGGTTTTATTTTTTATTAAAGATAAATCTTTAGTGCTAGTTGGAACGCAAGATTAAATATTAAATGAGAGTTAAATAAATAAATTGTCGAATAACTTTCGGCGGTGACAAGATTCGAACCCGCGTCTTGAGGTCTTGAGAGCGCCCAGACGCCCTAGCTACGACTAACTAAGCGCATAGCTTCACTGAAACAGTTTTTTCGAACGTTTGTGTAAACTCACATTTAAAACGCTAAACATATTTTTTTACACAAAAACAGGCCTATTATTCTACCAGGTGATGAGTAGTGAATTAGTAGTAGTATAGTCGTTTATTTAAAGACAAGAACCAGGACAGTTAGCTACCGTAGCGCTTTAAAGTTATAGATAAATTATTACTTATAGTTTTTAATATCACACATCTATCAGTCTGATTACAGATTATTGTGAGAAGAAATTTAAGACCGATTTGTATTATTCAGATACGAAGCAGGAAAATTTAATTCAAATATTAATATGCAGCATACTTTTACTTTTCGTCTTTTTATGTTTCCTGTGTTCCCTAATTTCGCTCACAGAAAAAGTTAATTAGTCCGTCTGAAATTAAGCGCAGTTTACAATGTCCGCCTGCAGAACCAATGATTGATGAGGGGGTTCACGCTGTACGGCTACGAAACGGGCTTTATTTTTATTCTTTATTTTACTTTTGCTGTGTTTATTAATCTGGCACTTGACGCAATGGATAGTGAATCTGTCTCTTACGCCAGAATGTATGGGTTCGGTCTCCACTACTGTAAAATATTGTGCGATCGTAGTGCTTTTCCTAGTCATTATTCATCACTGAATAGTATAAAACAAAGTTGCCCCTGCTGTCTGTCTGTCCCTGTGTATGCTAAGATCTTTAAAGCTACGCAATGGATCTTGAGTGATTCAAGAGGAATGTTTATATGTACAATACATTGCACCCGTGCGAAGCCGGGTCGCTAGTAAATATAAATAACATGCAATTATTTACGAAATAAAATTGTGTTTAAGTATGTGTTTACATCAATTTCGCTGCTACACGAATAGGCAGACTCGTCCGGGGAAGTACCAACAGAAGTCCAGTGTCTAGTGAAAGTACTTAGCGTGTCCCCTGGTGAGTGACGTGGGCCGGAGCCTACTTTTTTAAAAGTTAGCAGCCGTCTCCAGTCTCTCGGGAGTTGAACTCCATGGGCGGTTGTAATCATTTAACATCATAGTGGTAATCTGTTCATCATACCACCAAAGACTTATTACTGCCATCCAGCATCGCAATAAAAAGGCAGAGTTTCGTGTTTAAAGACACGAGAGAAGAGAGCGAAGAGAGAATGAGAGAGAGAAAATTATTCGTCATGTCCTTGCAGGATAACTTACCATGAAATGGCGTGATATGATTCAGAAAGCATTTAGATCGACACCTGGAAAAGAGTTCTGATAAAAATGAATTATGGATTTTGCAACACAAATGCAAAGATAACGAAGAGCTGGCTTAAGTCTAAAGGAATCCCTACAATCGAGTGTTCACCAAACGGTTTATATTTGTCGCCTACTGATACGATCGTCCGAGATTCAATAACTGCAGAAGAATGTGAAAAATTGGTAGCCATGATGGGATATGATCAAAGTAAAGGAGATACAACAAATTAACTTTGGCGAATTAAATTACAATAGCCGAACTTATTCGTTGAAGTTGCGAAAAGACTATATTTATTATAATAAATACTTGTTTTACTTTTTCATTATTGTTTGATTTTGTGTATTTATGAACTCAAATTTAATTTTACAATCATACATTTACATTTCATTGTTTGTATTTCAAGTACAAGTCAGATTTTGATAAATTTAAGACAATATGCAATTACCTGGTCAAGGGTGTGAAGTATGGAGCCGAGTACTTTCCAAGGGGCATCGACGCTTGGCGGTGATTCTGAATGTTTTGGGATAATTCATGTGATGGCCTTACTCAAATCGTAAGCTGTGTAGTATGGCTTATTATTATTATATATTACCCTGTCTAGTGTCATCTGTTAGGTCGTGGTTCCTCAACGAATCAGCTAGTCCAGACGCGCGAGAGACGATACTACCTCTGCCAGACTAGCACACTCAAACTTGTACTGTCCACTTTGAAGATAAGTTGGAGAAACGCAGATTTCGTGGCTCCAAAGTAAAACGAGCGATAAACGCTCCCTGTAAAGTTTACGGGCGTTCGCGGAGTTTCGACAAGGCGGACGATGCCATAGGCATCCCGAATCCCAACAGTTAATTATGTTTGTATTACGTCCCGTATACGTTTTAATTAGTCGCCAATAAAAGTAACGTAATCAATTAATGCAACATATTAACTTATTCATATCAGACAACGATGCAAACGAATCAAAAATTGAATCGCACAGCGCAGATGAGCCCGTTGATTATGACGTTTTTAATTTTTAATTTACAATGAGTAATTATATTTACCGCTACTGCTTTTTGCGACTTTGAAACATGTATTATAATTAAAGTGATTTAAGCTGTGACTTGAAATTAATTTATTACGGAAAATATGAAGTTTTCTTTGTTTAGTTAGCGGTATTTTTTTTATTTAAAACAAGCTTAGAAAAAGAATTGTAGAACGTAGACAGTTAATATTTATACATTAGTGGACGGTTAATATTTATAAATTAATTGCGTATAAAATAAATCAGGGACAATATTTCAATAAAATTGTAAATGTTGTACACATCTGTGATAGGTGTACATATTAGGTTCATACTTCGTGGCGCAGTTGCCAAGGTATTGGCTTCAGCGTCGGGGGTCGTGGGTTCGATCCCCACGCGGAACAATTATTTGGGTGACCTACAGATAGTTGTTTCGCATCTGGGTGTTTGTGCACGTGAATTTATGTTTGTAAAACGTCCTTACTTAGGATAATATTATCCTGAAGGGCAATTTAAAAAAAATACTTAAGCGTCGAACGAAGACCGGAGGTACGGAATTAGTGACGGTGAATAAAATGGCGGGAAACTGATTCAGGTCAGTCGGCGGGCGAACGAATTCTCATTTTAACGGCCCGTTGCGTAATCCAACCGACACCGCATTACGTACAGTGATTGGTTGCGCCGACATGTTTGTTTGTTTGAACACATTAAGCCGAAACACGATGTCGGAGTACGCAGACTAAAAATGAGAAATGGAACAACTCGTTTCGACCAAGCAGACCTATAGGCTAAAGATTGTACGTGCTAATTTTTATTTCGAAGTGATAACAACCAAAAAGCGGCCTGTAGGTAGCTTTGCGTTATATGTTATTACGACTATTATGTTACAGACGTCACAGGATTAGGTAAACATAAGTTTGTAAGTAAATGGAGCATATGACCTTTTACAAAACATGTAAGTATTAGTTTTTCTACAGCCAGGTCAAAATTAGTTCCACATGCCGACGTTCACAAGTGACGTTCATAATCGTATGAAACAAATCTAAACCATAAAGTTACACAAATCTTTTAATCCCATAAAAAATAACTGTTTTTGAATTAAACGATGTGAGCAAATAAATGGTTGAGCTAGTTAAACAATAAGTTGAGAAAGTTACTTTCATTGTGTTGAAAATACAAACATGGCGGTAACATTTAACGCCATTGGTCCCGCTCGTTAAACTTCGGACCGTATTGACTCCGTAATTCATTTACGAGTTAATAAAAATTCATTTAAAATTAACCGTGTGGCGTCGAAAACTCGCTTAATTTTTGAAGCGATTACAGCGCGCATTTGCTGCATTCATTACTAGGTACTCTGTTATAACTGTTCAGCCTCGCCATTGCTTTGGTATGAGAAGATTTTAAAGTTTGAAAAATTTTTTCGTGTTAAAAATACGATGCACATTCTAACACGAACGCTTTTATAGTCATCGTTTTTAGAGATATTCAGACTGTACACAATATGAAAACTTCGGGTGTGACAAGTATGATTACTTCGCCGAATGATGCTATAAGAAAAGTTATGCATTTCTGGTACTATAAAATACTCCAAAATTGGCAGGGTCGCGGAAGTGTGCGAAAGCGTTCCCGTGACCCTGCCGATATGCGCCTAGGTGTAACATCGTGGGGGTTTTAGTCGGTGCGAGTCCGACATAACCCGCTCTTGCCCCCGCGAGGGCGGGTATGCGGAGGCATTTCCCCCAGGTCAACAAAAAAAAATGAGGAGAGGAATTGGCGAAAAAAAACTTGACGAAGCAGCCGATATCATGACTAGGCCTCATATATATCATAGTCTAACAATAAACACAAATATTAAATTAACAAATTAGGCTTCGAATAGTCGCTGTATATGACT